TAACCAAGGTGAGGCCAGGGATGCATGCTGGCAACTCTGGGGCTCTCCCTCACCATTAGACTCTGTTTCCACAGATGCCAAGGAGGGGACACTCATTTCATCCTGTTGACCCCACTCATCCTGCCAACTACACCACTTGTCGAGGTCAAGGGACTTCTGGGGTATTTTCATGCATGAGGTCCCGAAAGAAAGCACTTGGACCAAACGTCAAAAACAGCAGCGGCAGCCTTCATTGTCCAACTTCTATGTACTGACTGTTACCAAGTTTATGTTCTTGTATGTTGCCATAACCGTGGCATGTGAGCAGTGCCCTTGCTAAGTTCTATTCATATAAATGTATCCTGCTATGTGTCTGCACCAAACAGTGCAAAACTTATGCATCCTCAGTTACCCCAGGATTTGAAACAATCTGCTGCAAATCCTCATACCCCTCTCAGGCAGGAGCTTGCTATCTTTTAACCTCCATTGTTTCTAGGATTCATTCTTCAATTTTAGAGAGCACAAACGTAGCGTGTCAGACATCTAACAGGTTGGGAGTTATAACATTTCTCTTATATCATATTTGGAGCGTCTGATACCATCCCTATTTCAGGGTGATCAGGAAAGTAAAAAGCACAGCACACACAGATAAACCAGGCTTTCAGATTTTAAAAGCTGGGCGCCTAGCCCAGGTACTTTTCACTAGGTCTCTGGGTCAAATTGACAGGAATGATCAACAGACTTCTCAGGCATCTCATGGTCTTTCCACAAGCATGCCTGTCCCAGAATCCACTTTAATTAAATTACAAGTATGAGATGCAGTCCATATGTTAATATTTAAGAAGGTTCAAATGGGGAAAAGGATCCTGAAGTTCAGGCCGACAGCTCTAAAAAGCATATGCTCTGGCTGGAGCCTCAGAGATTTCCTGACTCTTGGTCATTTTATTTTCTGCATCTCTTACCACAAGGACAGGAATGGTCCTGAGATATTGCCCATATTCAAGTGGGTGAAGAAACTGTTAGGTCTTCTGGTACAATGGAGAGTCAAAAACAAAAAAAGAAAAATGGAAAGAAAAGGAGGCCTTTACTGAAGACATGGAGAGGGATGCACAATTCATGGGGCTGGACTCCTCCGGCCAAAGATTAAGAGAGCTGAAGTTTATACGATCTCCAATCAGAGGCAGAGTTTGGGGCGGGTGTTAATGACATGTGACAAACTGATTATAGAGTTTTCTTCATGCACACAGGAAAGGAAAGAGGAAGTTGTATTCAGGGCTGAGGGGAGGAAGAGGGAGTGGTCATCAAAGAGGTAAACTGTTGTTTTTGTTTTGGCCTTCTGCTATGTTAGACCACCACCATAATATTCAGTAATTTATACTAGGGCAGAACCCTTTCATTCTTGTCTTTCTGCTCTTTAAGAAAGGGTGGTGGCTCTCTCAGACTGATTCCTGCTGAATGGAGGCATCATGTTGGGCGTGGGGAAGGTTGACAGGATGACAGTTAGTGCTCATGTAGAAGCTGGTACAGCTGTTTTAGCCAGGACAAGTAATTCATCATTAGTGAATGCTCACATCCTAGATTTAAGAAATCTTGAAAAAAAGTTTACAAAGACCAGGTGCTATGAGGAGGCAGCTTATTATCATAAGTAAAGGACCCAGGAGAGGTAGAAAGAAGCGTGCCAATGATCCAAATGTGTCACTCTACCAAGACCATGGTGAGGAAGTAAAACATCCATAGCCTAGCTGTTGGCACTTTTTGTCTAGGTAGGTGCAGAGACTTTTTACCTTGTCCATGACAATTCCTGACTCATTTACAAAGAAACATTCTTCTCCCAGCGTACCTCCCTCCTTTGCTACGGGGGTGTCTAGAGCTCATTGGTTGTGGAGAATGACTGCTGCAAGGCTATTTATTTGGTTTTGGGGTGAGTGGATGGAGACATTTATGTCTTCTATTTTTTGGTGAAGCTCCAGGGAGAGCTGAGACTAAAGATGGGCTTCTGTGCCTATTCCTCCCACCTCGAGGCCAGCTCTGAGTATAGAGAGCATACCTGCATCAACAAGAACTGGAGCGTGGACAGCCCTTGTTTCCAGGGTGAAGTGTGAGTTGGGATAGGAAAGAGGATTCCATGGCCTCCTCAGAGTTTACTGTTAGGGTTGGGACTAAAAGGATTAGGGCATAAGACCTTAGGGAGGAAGGCAAGTATGGGACCCTGTTTGGCATCCTATAAGCCAACCCCAGGTGGGCAGCTCTGGCTGAGGTAATGTTGTAAGTGCAGTAGAGAAGATCTTTCATTTGGAGAGAAGAATTTTGAAACAAAGATACCAGGCAGGTGAGGTTTGTTGGCCAGCCAGGTAGAGAGAGGTCCTACTATGGCTGGATTATGTGGATGGGATAGGTAAAAGGCGTTCCAATATGTGGGGGCAGCTATATAAACATTTTGTTGGTATGGGATAGTGTGATAGGGTAACATATGCTTGTGACAGAAATTGGGGAATGGGTCAAGTTTAATGTGGGATACTTATGGCAGAAAGGTAAGTATTACTGGGATGTTGATGATGGGGGAAAGGGTTATGGGTTTTACCCGTAATGTGAGGAAGTTGCCTTGTGGGACTGGAGTACTTAGGTCATGCCCATGATGATTATAGAAATAAAGGCCACAATATTTTCCCGTGAGATATTGGGAATGTGAATTTTTGATTGTGAAGTTTATCCATTCTACACTGTCTCCTCTGTAACTTTTTATGGCAGAGATAAATGGGTCTGACCATTTCCAAATCCATCTCGTTGCTTGTATGCCAATGGTTTCACATGCCTACTTGTTGACATAGAACCAATAGGGATTCACACACTGTCATTGGTGCATTGTGGGGGCTGGGGGGGAATAACCAGACCATTTTTGAGACAGCAGATGCTGTCAGATGACTGGCAAATTAATCCACTTCATTTAGCTTGTGTCTTATCCAAGATTTGGATATAAGGTCTAAGATAACAGTGGGGAATGTGAAAAATGGGCATGGAATTGGGGGTGTTGAAGTTATGGGCGGCAATTATTCCCCAAGAGTGAGAGTAAAGGTGTAATCAGGACTTGTCATTGGCCCAGGGCTTGAGACGGAGAGAGTGGGAAGCATGAGGAACATAAGGCCTGACATCTGAATCTTGTTTGGGAAATTACAGACTGGGGCTGTCATTGTAAGTGAGATGAGAGCCCAGATCCAGAGAGACCTCATGTTTAACTAGACAGTTGAGGATGGAAAGAACTAAGATAGCTGCTATGTAGAAAGAGTATGAAAGCAATTGCATGTATAATGTGGAAGTTCTCAGAAAAGGCTTCCCAGAACCCTACAGCAAAAAGAATACTAATAGAATGTAAGAGATTGGGAAAGAGTTAGAATAACACAACATAAGTGAGCCTGAAGGTTGTGGCTGTGGACCCTTGGTGAGATGGAGATGGGTGGGAGATAGGAGATGTGAGGGCCACTCAGTACGTTTAGAGTCAAGAGAGTTAGGGTTAGGAGGGCACCATTTAGGCTGGGTGATTAGAACCAGCAACCCTGACTGCCGTCAGAGTTGTGAGGAAGGCCAGATGGAGGCCACTCCACTTTGGTTGTACCCTGTGGACTTAGAAGATTTGAGATAAATTAGGTCTCTCGTGGATATGGGAGGCTCTGGCTTGGTCCCATCAGAGGGTTGGGGAAGGCTGAGATGGGCATGTTGTCATAACAAGAGGGTGCAGAGGATTGGGATGTAGTCAGCAAGAGGAAGGAGACTTTGGAAGGTAGAAAGATTCCAGGAATGGTCAGCCATGCATGAGCTTGAAAGGGCTTAGAAAGGTAGAATCCTGAGGAATCGCTCTGAGCGTGGCTAGCACAAAGGGAAAAAGTTGAAGCCAAGGGTAGTGTAGCTCTAGAATAGTTTTGCGAGATGTGCTTTTATGAAGACATTTGCCTTTTCTACTTTTTTGAGGCTTCTGGATGATATGGAATGTGTAGGCACCAAGTAATATGGGAGCTGGAGGATACTTGTTGAGTGATTTGAGAAATAAAGGCTGGCCCATTATCTGACTAGATATTCTGCAGTAGACCAAACCTAGGAATGATTTTTTTGTAATAAGGCTTTAGTAACTATGTCATCAGTTTTCCCCTAGCCACGGGAAAGTCTTCTATCCACCCTGGAAAGGTAAAGACAAAGGTCAGAAGATATTTGAGAGTTTTGTGGTACAGCATGTGTGTGAAATCTATCTGCCAGTCTTGACCAGAAGAATGTCCACAAAGTTGGTGAGTAGGAAAGGTAGGGGGTGGTACATGTCCTTGAGGACAGTTTTAGCACAGAGCTAAATGGTGTGAGTCATCTGGAGGATGACAGCCCTCAGAAAAGGATGTGTAACCACTGGGGCCAACAGACTGTGTAGTACCTGAAATCACACATGAAAATGGTTATGTAAGTCACTGATGAGTCTAGGGCTTGCTGGTCTTGGAGGACAAGTTTTGATCCTTGAAGAATCCACCCCTAGGTGTTTTGTGTATAACCTGGTTTGTGGAGCAACTGTAGTTGTTTGGTGAGAGGCAAGGTTTGGGACCAGCAGGAAAAGGTGAGAAGGATATGGTCTTTGTGTAGCTAGCTGGCTTGTGTATCTGAAAAGGTATTTCCTGAGCAATGGGGTCTGTAGAATTCTAGTGTCCCCTGCAATGAATAACTGCTGCTGGCTTTGGAAGTTGTGCTGCTTCTAAGAGTTTAATGATGGGAGGCACATTAATGATGGGGGTTCCTTGAGTGTCGATAAAACCCTTTCTTGTCAGATGGCAGCATGGGAGTGCAAAATGCCAAATATGTACTTTGATTCAGTGTATAGTTATGATCTGGTTTTTTGCCATTGTAAGAGCCTGTGTAAGAGCAATACGTTCTGCCCTTTGTGAAGATGTCCCAGGCAGTAGTGGATTTGTCTGTATGACCTCTGGCTGGTTAGTATTACATACCCTGCTCTCTAGCTAGTCTGTGTTTGTTGAGCCACCACCTGTTGTTGGGAGCCACCACATTGCCGAGCCGCCGCATATAGCGATCATGCGGCCTGTGGTAAAGAGTAAAGCCTGAGTTAGATTACCCCTCCCATCGAGCACGTTAGTTTCCTGCTTACCGCGTAAACAACCCGCTCAATAATATGTTAGCCAATCAGCTTGCCTTGCTTACTTTGATATGATTGGACACTGTATCCGTATATATACTGGTGCCACCCCTGGGGGGAAGTAGAAGCCCGGAAGGAGCCGCGGAGAGCGGACCGGTAGAGGCTTCGGAGCGAAGCCCGGAAGGAGCCGCGGAGAGCGGACCGGTAGAGGCTTCGGAGCGAAGCCCGGAAGGAGCCGCGGAGAGCGGACCGGTAGAGGCTTCGGAGCGAAGCACGGAAGGAGCCGCGGGGAGCGGACCAGAGGAGGCTTCGGCTGGGAGCGATCCCAGGGCAGGCTGTACGGAGAGAAAATAAAAGAAAAGGTTGTCCACTGCCAGACTTTGTCGTGTGTCCTTCCTGCCGGCCGGGAGCGACATCGACATTTGGTGGCCCGCACGGGGAACAACTGATCACCCCCGAGACGTGGTAGTGGACAACGTTCCTTGATACAGCACTGCGAGACAGGTGAGCAGGGGATAAACCTGGGCCCTGGGTGGCGCGCACCTACAGGGTTTTTAGACTCCCCTCAGGCTCACGCGTAAGTGGCGGATTTTTGGGCCTCACGCGGTGAGTAACATATTAAATATGGGTAACGTACCGAGTAACGACACCCAGCCCTTGGTACAGGTCCTCCGGAAGCTCTTAAAGTCCAGAGACCTCAAGGTGGGACGCAAAACGCTGGAGAGCTTTTTTGAGGAGATTGATAGTTTCGCTCCCTGGTTCTTGCCCACAGGGCACTTAAACCTGCCCTCGTGGGAGAAGTTGGGCAGGGATCTTTCTCTAGCGGAAAGGGAGGGCGGGGCTTCGGTCTTCGCTCGGCCACTGTGGGAAATGATATATGCATGCTTGAAGAGCGAGGGTGGTTGCAGGGAAGGTTCTCAAGAGCTCATTAAAGTGCGTAGGGCATTCGAACAGGCCCAGTCAGGGAGCTCCCGGGAAGGGTCCGTCAAAGGAGACAAAGATATAAAGGAGGAAGACGGGGCTCAGGCCTCGGAGTCGTCTGACTCCGAGAACGAGGAAGGCTTAGACAACGATGAGACCAAGGAGCCTAGATGCCAAGAGGATAGGCCGCTCGATAAGGAGTCGCAGGGTTCTTTCCCAGCGTTGCGCCGCGAATTGCGCTCCGCTCAACTTGGTCTGCGGAGGAGTAGAGAGCTCCTGAGCGCCCCCTGGCGCGAGAGGGAGGCGAAGCCTTCCGCCCCACCTTGGGGGCTGTTCCCGGAAGCGATCCCTCGCCACGAGGCGGCCGCGTGGGAGCTCCCTCCCCTTTCGCCAGAACAGGAAGTGATGCACGGGCCCCCATTTTCCGCCCAATCACGGCCGCCGTCTTATGCTCCGCCGCCGGCGGGTCGGTATTTTTACAGGCGGCTTTGGCAGGGGGGACGTTTGTCTCATGAGGTACATCCACCACCTGGGATAGATAGTGGCCCCTACGGGATATTTCCTGTACAAGTAGCTATGGGCCAGGGACGTAATGCATGGGAGCCTTTTGAGATAAAGCAGATTAGAGAACTTAAAAATACAGTTACAACCTTTGGGCCGACTGCGCCTTACACCATTGCCATGCTGGAGAACCTGTCTTCTGGGCCCCTCACCCCCGCGGACTGGATTCAGCTGGCAAAGGCGTGTCTGCCCTCGGGTAGTTACCTGGATTGGCGAGCCTGGTACACAGAGTTCTCTGCCGAGCAGGCTGAGAAAAACGCCGGTCGAGAAAACGGGGGCTAGAGATTTAGCTCAGCGGCATAAGCGCCTGCCTTGTAAGCAGGCAATCGCCAGTTCGATCCCTGGTACCAATAAAAAAAAAAAAACGAAAAAGATAAAAATAAAAAATAAAAAATAAAAAACAAAAAGGGGGAGTAAGCCAAGGCCTGCCTCCAAAGGCGCGGTTATCTATGGCATGACAATGGATGGGCCCGGATCCGGTAATCAGCTGGAACCGAGGCGCGGTTTGTGTTTTTCTGCAGGAATCGAGACGAGAACCACTGTGGGTACCGGAGAGACTGACACGGGCGACAAAGCCCTCGACTGAAGATCAGACCTGCCCTACCGGAGATCCATCACAGACCAACCAACAAGATGAATAGAAATAGCGGTAGCCCGAAATGGACAAGAAGATCCTCAGGCATATGCATGGCTCGCTCGCCTAGCCTACGACCGAGTCTAGGGACGGTGAGCTTCCCACACTCCTCCTCTAAAAAATTATGATATAGCAGGGTAGATGAGTCAATGACGGGTAAGAGCATGCCTCCCCAGCATGACTCAACCTAAGACAGGCCCTACCCCATACCGCACGAAAGCCGCTGAATTACTAGGTTCCGCCCAAACCAAATGTCGCCCCGGGGGGATCATGCGGAGCGACATGAGTGTATGCCTGTGTGCATCCAGGTTCCGTCCGGTTCCTTCCTGGCCCTGGAAAAAGGACGAGGGCCTCGGGGCCTCGGCAGACTCGGGGACGGCCGACCCGGGCCGACGCCGAGAGCCCTTGGTGGGCCTCCTATCAGGGCATAGGCCTCTACACTCAATTCAGGACGGGCTGCGATGCGTAGACTTATTTAAAATAAAAAAGGGGGAGATGTTGGGAGCCACCACATTGCCGAGCCGCCGCATATAGCGATCATGCGGCCTGTGGTAAAGAGTAAAGCCTGAGTTAGATTACCCCTCCCATCGAGCACGTTAGTTTCCTGCTTACCGCGTAAACAACCCGCTCAATAATATGTTAGCCAATCAGCTTGCCTTGCTTACTTTGATATGATTGGACACTGTATCCGTATATATACTGGTGCCACCCCTGGGGGGAAGTAGAAGCCCGGAAGGAGCCGCGGAGAGCGGACCGGTAGAGGCTTCGGAGCGAAGCCCGGAAGGAGCCGCGGAGAGCGGACCGGTAGAGGCTTCGGAGTGAAGCCCGGAAGGAGCCGCAGAGAGCGGACCGGTAGAGGCTTCGGAGCGAAGCACGGAAGGAGCCGCGGGGAGCGGACCAGAGGAGGCTTCGGCTGGGAGCGATCCCAGGGCAGGCTGTACGGAGAGAAAATAAAAGAAAAGGTTGTCCACTGCCAGACTTTGTCGTGTGTCCTTCCTGCCGGCCGGGAGCGACATCGACAACCTGTGAACCATGTGTCAAAGGCTAGAGAGAGAAGTGTGCCACTGATGTGAGGAAAAGGGGTGGGAATCATCTGTAAGACCTCAGTGCAGGGTGTTCTCCTGGAGCGGGGAGCAAAGTTGCTGGGTTGAAAGGCCTACTGGTTGCATTAAAGAGGGAAGGGTCCTGACAGAGGACTAGATGGACCTTTGAAGGTAAGAAGGTGTCGTCAGGGCAGGAAGTGTCTTATGTGAGATAAGCTCATTTAGATGATGAGGTGAGTGTACTGTAATCGATTATACCAATGTGGACTTTTTGGCTTCTTGTGTCAGTACAGCTATGGCTGCAAGGGCTCAGACACAGGTTGGCCATCCTTGCACTGTGTTGTCTGTTTTGACAAGTAGGCTACCACTTGAAAGGAAGGTCCCTTTCTGTGTTCCAGTACATCTATAGCATTGTTACCTTGAGAGGTAGTGTACAGAGTGGAGGGTTGTGTGGGTTCAGGGACAGTGAGGGCTGGGCCCCTTAGGAGAGCCTCTTTTAGCTTATGAAAGGAGGAGTGTATAGATGGAGTGGGGCCTAGGGTCTCTGATAAGGAGCCCTTGAAAGCTTTGTAGAGGGATTGAGCTAGAGTTAATGCTGAGGCAAAAAAAAAAAAAGTCAGCTCAACCCAGAAAGGATAGGACCTGTTGCTTGGACATGGGTACCTGGCGATCCAGAAGGATTGCCTTGTGATCTGTGGTAATGGAATGAGTGGTAGGAGTGAGAGTGAGCACTAGATATTTGGCCTTTGGGGAAGCACTTGGGCTTTAGCAGGAGAGACTCAATACCTGTGGTTGGAGAGAAAATTGAGGAGAGTAGCTATAGGTTGTATAACTAGAGTGTGGGATGGAGAACACAAGAGAAGGTCATCAATGAAGGAGAGTGCTTGGTTTGAGGTCAAGAGCTGTAAGGTCAGCAGCAAGAGCTTGGCTAAAAAATGAGGACTATCTCTGAATCCCTGAGGGAGAACTGTCCAGTTGAGCTGTTGAGACCTAAGAGTGTCTGGGTCAGTTCACATAAACACAAAAAAATCCTGACAACCAGGGTGTAGAGGAATGGTGAAAAAGACATCTTTAAGGTCTAGGACTATGAAATGAGTGGTGGAGGAGGAATATGAGAGAGTATAGTGTAAGAGTTTGTCACCACTGGGTGAATTGGTGTAACAGTGTTGTTGATTACACTGAGGTCTTGAACCAGGTGATAGGAACTGTTAGATTTGAGTACTGGGAGAATGGGAGTGTTTTAGGATGAATGAGAAGGTTTGAGAAAACCATTGTCCAGAAGATGCTTGATTATAGGTTTGAGTGTCTGTTGATATTTGGGAGCTATATGGTATTGGGAAATGCAAGGAAAGATTGAATGATCTCTGAGACAGATTAATATAGGGGTAGCATGGGTAGCACTGGTGGGTTTGGAGGTATCCCAGACTACGGGATTGATAAGGGAAGGAGCAAGGGGAGGGGCTGGGTTGGTAGCAAACTGTGATGAAATTTAGAGGACAAGAGCTGCGGGGAGGAAGAAGGTAAAGGTGAAGTTAAGCTTTTGGAGACAATTCCTACCCAAAAGGAGTGTGGCACATGTTGGTATTACCAGAAAGCCATGGGTGAAGAAAAGAGTTTGGAAACAGCAGGGAATGAGTCTTGTTTGAAGAGGCTGTGTAAGGTTGGCCATCAACACCCACTATGGAGACTGTGGGTTTAATACAGCAACCTGAACTCAGGAAGAATATTGTACATGGCCACAGTGTCTACAGTACAGAGAGTGTCTTACCTGAGATCCCAGTGAGACTTGGGGCTCCAAGAAGGATACCTTAACGGGGCCATGAACCCTGAGCCCTGTCAATATTTTTCAGTGGCAAGTCCAAGTAGGTCAGCCAGCAACAGATTCAATGGTGATGAGAGCTCCTCTGGAGGCAAAGAATTGGAGGATGGCTTACCAGCTCTTTGGTAGCTAAGACAGTCGCTCTTTCCAGTGGTCCTTGATGTTACAGAAGGGGAAGGCTCCGGTGGAGGTAACAGATTGGGGCATTCTGTGGTCCAGTGTCCTTCTTTGCCTCACTTGAAGCATGCTCCTGGAGGGGCTCTGGCAGCTCCACCTTGCTTTGGTTTACCTGTCTCAGAAGCTCTAAGTGCCACTGCTAAGAGATTAGTTTGATATTTAGCAAATTTCTTTTTTGTATGTGTCTCTTGTTCATCTTTTTGTGTTTTATCTCTATGGCTGAAAACACAAAAGCTCACATAAGGAGGTCTCCCTATAGAGTTTGAGGGCCAAGCTCAGCCTTTCGTAGTTTTACCTGAATGTCAGGGGCAGACTGGGAAATAAAATAGAATTGATAACAATTGTCCCTTTATGGGAGTCTGGGTTTACATTAGTAAACTTAGAGTGTTCCTAAGACATATGAGGTACATCCACAGGGTTTTCGTTAGCCTCTTGGACCGGTTCTAAAAGCTTGTTATGGTTAGTATGGTTGTGAGCTGTTTTTTTGAGGCCTGCAATCATACATTCAATCATCTTATGGACTTTATATGTACCCTCTCTGTTCTCTGCACACCGCAGGTGACCCCAAGGCGCAGGCTCTGTACAGGTGGAATACCAAGGAAAGAGACAGCGAAGCGAGCTTCCGGGAGAACATGGCAGATAGATAACAGCAACTACCGGAGGCTCTCTGAAAGGCTCAGCTCAGAAATCAGGAATGATGCGGACTAAAGAGACATGAGCCTGTAGAGATATGCTCTGCTGACTCAGGAACGAACTGGGCTGAGAGAAACCAACTTGGAATGCAGTCCTGGCGCTAAAATAGGAACAGAAAAGCCTCTGCGTGGAGGCTGGACCCCGCGCCATTGGAAACCGCGATTTGGGTTTCCCGCCACGTGGCAGCTGGCTGCCTCCACAGCGGTTCGGCAAGGAGAGACGCGCAGAAGCTCTGGGAACAGGAGTCTGCGAACGGAGTCGAAAACAGGACGGACAGGACAAGGAGGCGTACACTGACTGGTGGCGAGGTGAGTGAGAGAAACTGACACTCTACCACAGTTTGACTCCAGCGGAGGACTTTCTGGGCTCGGGCAGTCCTGTAAGAGCAGGGCACGGTGGCGACTCCAGCCACACATTCCCCTCTCGGACGGGATTGGTGAAAAGTGCTTGGCCTGCGTGACGCTGCGGGCAGACTTGGTAGGCTGGCCTAACCCAGATCCCAGAGCCTGACAGTGGCCTGGAGGGGTGACTCCTGCGTAGGCTGCCTAGTCCGTAACTCCCTGGTGCGCAGTGGTGGGCGGGAACACCTAGCCAGCGCAATTTAATCAGGCTGTGGCTGACAGGCAGGGAAGTTGGGCCTCCTATGTAAGCTTGCATTTTATAAGGAACGGCGAAAATGGGGTAGGGAAGCAACAAGAAAGTCTCCTCGGCCCCCAATTCTGAGAAACAGGCAATAGCGGACACCGCACCAATAGACATTAAGTGCCATATAGAGAGCCTCATAGACCAATTCAGGAATGAAGTTATCAACGACCTGAAGCTAGAAGTATGCAGAATAGTTAGAGAAATGCTAAGCACCACCCAGGAAAAAACAGATGGTGGAATGGAAGAACAGAAAAAGAGGGGAGAATTGTTTGATGGAGAAAACAGAGAAAGCATAGAGTACGTGAAGCAGGTTCAAAGGGACTATCAAGAAATTAAGAAGTCTATCCAAGACTGGCATAACAGCTTGAAAGAAACTAAGGACAGACTATCTGAGCTGGAGGGCAGACTTGTAATATGGGAGAATGAAATGAAAAACTTCTTAAAAATAACAAAGAAACAAACAGCAATAATACAAAGACAAGAAGATGATAAGAGGAGCCATAACTTAAGGATTAAGAACATAAAAGAAGTAGGGACACAAACAAGTGAACTACAAAAGCTACTCACAGAAATAATCCAGGAGAATTTTCCTAATTTAGCAAAAGGTAAAGATACTCAGATGTACGAGGCATACAGGACCCCAGCTACCTACAACCCTAACAGAGAAACACCCAGGCATATAATAATAAAAATTCCAGAAATTCAATACAAGAACAGAATATTAAAAGCTGTAAGAGACAAGAAACAGACCATTTACAAGGGAACACCCATCAGAATTACAGCATATTTCTCTGCACAAACCATCAAATCACGAAGAGCATGGGGGGAAATAATTCAAGCTTTGAAAGATAATAATCTCCAGCCAAGATTGAGATATCCTGCACAACTGTCCCTGGAAATTGATGGAAAAACAAGGTGCTTTCAGGATAAAGAGGAACTGGGGGAATTTGCAACCACCAATTCAACCCTACAGAAAGTATTGCAGGATATTCTAAAAAAAGAAAAATACAAAGAACCCAGAAATAGTGGCGGGGAGGCCACAACGAATGGAGCAGGGAACAAAATGAAGAAGACAAACTGACAGCTACTGACAGAAAAAGAGCTCAATAGAAATGAGACAGAGAAGATTGGATGATAGGAACAGCTATTTTAGAGAAAATGATATCTTAATAGGTAATACTGATTTAGTATCATCTTGTTTTGAAGTCTCATCTAGCTTTTGTTCTTCTGTCTCCAATGGTCTAAACAGGTTGTATCTTATTGGATTTTATTATGTACGATAGTATAAGCAAAAACCTTTTAAAGACAAGGAGATTATACAGAAACCATTGTTCATTTTCTGTTAGTTGATTCTAAATACTCTGTAATGCTGTCATTCTCTTAAATGGTTTTACATTGTTTTGATATACTTAATGCTACAGTATATGAAGTTGTACTCAAGGACTTCAAGGAAAGAGTCAATATGGTAACTACTTTTAGGTCGAAATTATCTGGTGGTGAAACACTATTCTGCTTAAATGGTTATGTTTTGATCTGCGCTGTTTTGCTGTTATGCCCTCTTTTTTCTCAATCTCCACTCCATTATTTACTTTTTTATTT